ATAAAGAAGAGGGAGTCAAGCTATTTTCCAAAGCGCCTGGAGGCAGGACAAGAAGCAACGGGTGGAAACTAATCAAGGAGAGAAGCAATCTAGAACTAAGGAGAACCTTCCTGACAGAACAATTAACCAGTGGAACAACCTGCCTCCAGAAGCGGTGAATGCTCCAACACTGGAAGTTTTTAAGAAGAGACTGGACAGCCATCTGTCCGAAATGGTATATGGTTTCCTGCCTGAGCAGGGGGTTGGACTAGATGACCTTCAAGGTCCCTTCCAACTTTACTATTATTATTATTATTATTATTATTATTATTATTATTATTATTATTATTATTATTATTATTATTATAATTTGCAAACCAGTGCTTGCAAGGCAACTGTGAATATTCAGTAAGCCAGATGAGCACCATGCCCTAGAGCAGGGGTAGTCAACCTTGGCTCTTTTATGACTCGTGGACTTCAACTCCCATAATTCCTGAACCAGCATGGCTCAGCTTGGAAACCTCTCCCTTTCCCCTCAGCATGGCTGGCTCAGGAATTCTGGGAGTTGAAGTCCACGAGTCATAAAAGAGCCAAGGTTGCCTACTCCTGGTCTAGGAGGCTCACCGCTTAGAACAGGAGGACTTAGGACGAGGGTAGGCAACCTTGGCCCCCTCATGACTTGTGGACTTCAACTCCCAGAATTCTTGAGCCAGCATGGCTCAGCTTGGAAACCTCTCCATTTCTCCTCAGCATGGCTGGCTCAGGAATTCTGGGAGTTGAAGTCCACAAGTCATAAAAGAGCCAAGGTTGACTACCCCTGCCCTAGAGTCAGACAAGAATAGTCAGAGAAACCTTTATACCCTTTTAATTGAAAAAGCATCCCTTGTTAAGCTCATGCTTCAGCTAAAAGAAAATGCTTGATTTTTCTTTTTTAAACTGCTCTAATGACCAGTTTTATTTCATTTTTACAACATGGAAAACACCCCAGTTCCCAGACTTTTGCTAAGTACAAACAATGATTAGACACACCTTTATTTTCTAAAGATTTGATGCTTTAAGCAACATATTGGAGTTCTTGAGAACTGTGGTATATATTGATTGGGGTGATTAGATAACTATTATTCCCTTTGTAAGTACAATCACTTCAGTGAATAGCAATATTGTGAGTTACATATGGGAGATATATATATGTGTGTGTGTGTATGTGTATATGTATATATACACATATATACATACGTGGGATATTTTTTCCTCCCATCTGAATAAAAGATTAGCATGTTTTTGAAAACCATGTAGTATAACCACCCTTAGATATTGTCATTCACACAATGGCAATCAGCATCCTTTGTATTTTTTTGTGGGGTGTCCCACAATAGCTGCGTTTGTAACAACCAGCAAAGCGAACAATTCACATAATCGCTAACTGAAATTGGGCTTACTCGTTTTCTGGATTTGTGCCACAAGCCAACTGGGTATGTAGGACACACCAAAAGTGCAAACTAAAAAGCAAAGTTTTAGCCTCGCCCCAAGCTGGAGTAGAAACTTATTCATCCGTTCCTTTCTCCTTTCTTGCATCGATGGAGAACTGTGAAAAATGTATACCAAAGGACAGCTTGCAAAAAAAAAAAAAAAAAAAAGTTTCGGGTATCTTATTTTTTTAGAGTCTGAAATGTTAAGTGTTAAAAGAAAACGCTTTGTGAATGATATTTTTATAAAGGCAAAGGTCTCCCTGTCCAGTCGTGTCCGACTCTAGGGTGTGGTTCTTACTTCTGTTTGTTACCCAAGGGAGCCAACATTGTCCGAAGATGTTGCCAAGGTCGTGTGACAAGACTATATATCAAAGCTGAATGGAATGCTGTTACCTTCCCACCGAAGTGGTACCTATTTATCTCTTCGCATTTGCATGCTTTCAAACTGCTAGAATCTCAGGGGTAGTCAACCTTGGCTCTTTTATGACTCGTGGACTTCAACTCCCAGAATTCCTGAGCCAGCTAAGCTGGCTCAGGAATTCTGGGAATTGAAGTCCACGAGTCATAAAAGAGCCAAGGTTGACTACCCCTGTGCTAGATGGACAGGAGCTGGAGCAAGGGACAGGAGCTCACCCCATTTCATGGCGCTCAGGTCTTGAACCTGGGTAGTCAGCTTTCCAGCTGACAAGCTCAGCCTCTTTAATGGCTGAGCCATCAGGCCCCTTCTATTTTTATAGTGAAGCCTGAGTCCCCCTTATATTTTTTATATTATGTATTTGCATTATATTCTTATTTTTACCCCTTATGTTTTTAGAGCGAAGCCTAAATTCGATGTTGAAGACACAAAGGACTAAGGAAAGATCCCATCTTTATTTATCTGGTACAGAGAAAGTAAATTCCAGCTTGATTTAGAGCAGAGCTTGGGAATTAATTTTCCCAAGGGGTCACGAGACTGGGCCTGTTGTCGAGGACACCCCCCCACACACACTGCCATCCACCAGCCCACTACTGCCACCAACTCCATCCACTCAACAATCACAATCAGGAGTGCTGTGATTGCAGTCATCGGATGAAACAGTGACATCTCTCTTAATGATCAATTTGTTGAGATTTCTTTCAAAAAACCCCGCGGTCAGTGGTGGGATTCAGCCAGTTTGCACCAGTTCGGTAGAACTGGTAGCTAATTTTTTGTTGCCCAGGCCCAGAATGGACTTCCGGAAGCGGCATCCACACAGAGAACCAGTTGTTCACCTATCTCAGGGGTAGTCAACCTTGGCTCTTTTATGACTCGTGGACTTCAACTCCCAGAATTCCTGAGCCAGCCATGCTGAGGGAAAAGGGAGAGGTTTCTAAGCTGAGCCATGCTGGCTCAGGAATTCTGGGAGTTGAAGTCCACGAATCATAAAAGAGCCAAGGTTGCCTACCCCTGACCTATCTGAATCCCACCATTACCTGCAGTTCCAGGTAGCAGTTTTAATACTATGGAGTTTGAGCATCGCACTGAAAATAACTGAATTAAGTTTAACAGGGACAATCTCCACCATGTTGAGCTTCCTGAAATTGCCTCCGAGTTAGCGAAGCGCCATTTTGGGGTGAATAAATGATGAATTGTGTTTACAGAGGTTGAAAACCAGACAGGGAAAATGAATTCCTTAACGTTTTTTGCCTTATTTTGCTCCTGGCTGATTCCTGGGTCGTGAAAAATTGAATTTTTCCTGCTGCAGAGAATAGAGCCAGCGAGCTGGGGGTTTAGAATGTGAACATCCCCCCCTGGTGGTCATCCTTAGAATAACTCAATACCACCTTAACATTCAAATCCATCTAGCACAGTGTTTCTCAACCTTGGCAACTTTACAATGTGTGGACTTCAACTCCCAGAATTCCTCAGCCAGCGTGCCTGGTTGAAGTCCACAAGTCATAAAAGGGCCAAGTTTGAAGACCCCTGAAGTAGAGGAATTGTCATTCAGGAACATCTGTAGGGCCAGCATTTCTCCATACACATATAGAAATATTTTCCACACCAGATGCCTCTAATTTGGGAGACATAATTTAGGAATCATTATTGCAGAGGGTAAATTCCAGTTGAATTTGCTTGATATACTAGTGTAGTGTTTCCCCAATTTAGTACTGAGTGTTAGTTGACCCAGATATTTCTGTATAGGCTTCAATAAATCATTTATGCTGCAACTTGTAGATGACCAGGGAGGGGTCAAACAAGTCATAAGCCACAGGTCCCTGCGTGCCCACAAAGGATCTAAGTCCAGCCCACTTAGAACGCCTTTCTTATCTCCCACTCATTTCCCTTGACTGTTAGTTGGCCAGAATCTTGTAGAGCTTAAGCTTGCAATAAATCTTTATACGCATTTGAACTGCCTGAATCTCCTGATTTCCCAGGCGATTAACGTAACTCACAAGAAAAGTCCTGATTTTTTTCTGCTTGACATCTGAAGCCATAAACCAGGGGTCTTCACACTTGGCCCTTTTATGACTTGTGGACTTCAACTCCCAGAATTCCTCAGCCAGGCACGCTGGCTGAGGAATTCTGGGAGTTGAAGTCCATAAGTCATAAGAGGGCCAAGTTTGAAGACCCCTGCCACAAACCAAAGAAATCACAACTTATAAGCCTATTTACTGGAAGAATTCAACTAAGCCAATATATATTTGGCCAGATTTTGGTTTAATATACTAGTACATTCAGATATAGGGGTTTATTAAATTGTGGTTAGGCAAACAATGGCTTAGCATCGTCAGTCTGTTATAATTGAAATAATATGTACTCATTAAATTCATAGCCATGTAATTGTAGGTGTAGACTTTGTAATTTCAGCATCTATGAATCTCTGCTCTTTTTAACCACCGTCCAATATAATGTGTACATTTGTACAATGTACCCACTTACTGAATTAATCCATTTTCAGGATTCACATGATAGCTTAAAGCAGTGTTTTTCAAACTTGGCAACTTTAAAATGTCAGGATTTCAACTCCTAGCGTGCTGGTTGCGGTATTCTGGGAACTGAAGTTCACACATTTTGCCAAATCTACACAAAGGAAAGTCTACACAAAGTCACCAAGTTTGAAAACAAACAAACACTGCCTTAAATCATATATTAGCCTGATGGTCTGGATTCACGCAGTCCACCAAACAATAAGAAAATAACCAAAGCATGCTAATTCAGTTTAGCATGTTGTATGAATATACCACCTACAAGGCAGCCAGTTAAGGGTGTTGTGGAAATACAACCCGCTTCTACATCACAAATCAGAGTGCCTGAAGGACCCAATTAGGGTAGACAAGAGTACAAGACCCTTTTTAAACCAATATTCCTATGTCAATAAGGGATACCTTGAAACAAGCTGCAATTCCCAGGACATTCAAAGCAGGTTTGGGAAACCCCAAACTGGTTTTACTGACCAAATAAAAGGCTTTTAAAGATCTTTAACCAGTACTTCTCAACCTTGGCAACTTGAGGATGTGTGGACTTCAACTCCCAGAAATCCCCTGCCAGCCAGCCAGCCAGAATTCTGGGAGTTGAAGTCTACTCATCTTCAAGTTACCAAGATGGAGAAACAATTGCCCTGGAGATGTTCCTTGAAAATAAGTTATTTCAAGAATGGGACCAGTTGGGCTTGCGTTTAGAAATGAAGGCCTCAATTCCTTCCTGTCCATCCTTCAGAGCCAGGTTCTCCACCATGACCCGTGAAGCTATCTGGTAGGCTGTGCCAATATCATGTTCCATCTGTTTGTAAAAAGTGGCCTTCCCCAGAGCTAACACGGCCCGGCTGCTCTGGCAGATCTTTTGGGCAACTCTCAGGGTCTCGCTTTCCAGCTGGTCCTCAGGTACAACTCGGCTGATGAGTCCATGGCGAAGGGCATCCTGAGCTGACATGGGCTCTCCGGTGAAGAGGATCTCAAGTGCCACCTGGAAGACAAGATCTGAGCTGGAGACTTTGATGTTCATCATCTGACTCGTTTCGAGATTCTGATGCCCGTCTGATGGGCCGTGTCATGCCTCCGTCGGAGCCTGAATCTGCGGAGGAAAATGAGCTGGAACGGGACCCTATGGAGGTCGAGGGAGAGGTGTCTGTGGCTTCAGAGGAATGTGGGGGAAGAGCTGGATGAGGCAGGCCAGGGCCCTTCAGGATTGGGACAGGATGAACGGGAGAGGCAGAGTTCAGGTGATGAGCAAGGGCCACCTCCACCTGATCCTAGAGCACGGAGAGAAGGAGGGAACAACGCAGGCAGGCTCAACTACTCGGGAGGAGAGCGTCCCGCCCCTCTCCACAAGGCACACCTGGAGAATGAGATTTAAAGAAAAGCTGTGGGGAGGGGCATTTGTCGGGAACAAATGCTGATTCTTGGAGTCGTAAAATGGAGCAAAACTGACTTAACCTCTTGCTCGGCAAAGAAAATTTTGGACTCCGTTGTGGTTGTTAAGTCAGGGACTATCTGTGCAATGTCTTCACCCTCTTTTCAAGTCAACTGTGGTGGCCACCCATGATCTTGTGGACGTAAGTTCCACAGCTCAAATTTTGCCCCCGTGAAGTAGGGCTTGCTTTGTCCTTNAGTCCAACCCCCTGCTCAGGCAGGAAACCCTACACCATTTTGGACAAATGGCTGTCCAGTCTCTTCTTAAAAACTTCCAGTGTTGGAGCATTCACCGCTTCTGGAGGCAGGTTGTTCCACTGGTTAACTGTTCTAACTGTCAGGAAGTTTCTCCTTAGTGCTAGGTTGCTTCTCTCATTGATGAGTTTCCATCCGTTGCTTCTTGTCCTGCCTTCAGGCACTTTGGAGAATAGCTTGACTCCCTCTTCTTTGTGGCAGCCCCTGAGATACTGGAAGACTGCTATCATGTCCCCCCTCATCCTTCTCTTCATTGAACGAGACATACCCAATTCCAGCAACTGTTCCTTATATGATTTAGCCTCCAGTCCTGATCATCTTTGTGGCTCTTCTCTGTACTCTTTCTAGAGTCTCAACATCTTTTTTACATCGTGGTGACCAAAACTGGATGCAGTATTCCAAGTATGGCCTTACCAAGGCCTTGTAAAATGGTACTAATACTTCACGTGATCTTGATTCTATCCCTCTCTTAATGCATCTCATCCAAGAAGCTTCTTCAGCTCTGACTGGATGGTGGGGAATGGAAAAATTTATATTCCTTGCAGACAGCTGGTCATTTGCCTTCCTTCAGAGAGTCTTTGAGGCCACTTGGAGGTTTATCTGTGCCCTCAGGGTCACCTGAGTGGTGCAAATGTGTGGGGAGCCTTCTTGGCTGCAGGATGTTTTCTGCCCTGCTGTCTCTTCACTGTTATTCCATTCCCCACCATCCAGTCAGAGCTGAAGAAGCTTCTTGGATGAGAAGTGAAACGTCTTCAAAGTCCAGTTGCCCCCTGAAAAAAAGCACCTTTGGGACAACCATGACCTGGATGACTGAGAACCTCCACAGACATTTAGCCTTATAGCACTCTCAACCTTGGCTACTTGAAGATACGTGGACTTCAATTACCAGAATTCTGAGGGTTGAGGTCCACACATCTTCAAGAAGGCTAAATGAAGACCAGGTAGCAATCTTCTGATGTTTGAAAGGGCTATCACAAGGAAACGAGCTTGGATTTATTCTCCATATACTATCTTGTCCTAATCATAGGACAACAACCACTTGGTGGGGATCCAAAGTCAAAATTTGAAGGAACTTCCTGAACAGGAGAGCTATGAAGCCATGGAACAGCTTGTGGGGGTCCATCACTGGAGATCTTCAAGCAAAGGCTCTTTATGTGGGCTGGTATCAGAATTTCAGGGTTGGATTAGATGACCTCCAAGGTTCCTTCCATCTTTACAAGTGCTTGAATATAAAATCCAAAGAGTCTAAATGACCTATTTCCAATTTCCAGATGTGTATGACGCAACTTCTTAAGATACATGAAATCTTTCCGTGCTCAGTTGATTTAAGAAGAGATGCTCCTGTTAAAAGTTATTTATAGCGACAGCATTTTTTTTCTGGGGCACTGCAGTGACTTTATGAATTTCCCCTGCAAAATCCCGGAGGGGAAAAAAAACCACAATCTATTATTCTCTTTCAATTCTGAACCATCGTACATCCCAGGTGACTGTCTGAAGCAAAATGTTTCATTTGATCTATTTAGGTTTCTTCTTATTCCAGGGTGGAATTAAAACATTGGGCCTCTGACACTGGAGATTTAAGTAATTCAACAGTGGAGGAATGGACAGATTTGGCTAATTAGTCCTTTATATTGTCAGTATTTAGAACAATATTACTTCTTCTGTAAAAAAATATGTTCAAGGGTCATGCTGTTGCACGTAGAGTGATAATTTAAATCAGGGATCTCTAAACTTGGAGCTGCAGACTTCAAATTCTGAGAGTTGAAGTCCACAAGTCTTTAAAAGGTGCCAAATTTGGAGAATCCCCCCCTGATTTAAAGTAACATTTTGGCACACAATGACGGAGAGAGAAGTCAGCCAACTGTAAAGAGAGAAATTTTTTCACAGGGTTGATCCAAATCAATGCGGAATTGTGGAAACTCACCTCTGAACAGGTTTTGAAGATGTCCATATGCTGCTTTGTGTCTTCCTTCCCGGTCAATTCCTTCAAGTCATGTCCAGAGGAGAAAACAGGCCCTTCGGCTTCAGAGAAGTTTGGAAAAAGAAGGAAATATTTGCACAGGATAGCACTATGATCTAGTTCACACAACACACTGAATTAGGGCATGCTTAACCGTGTTCTATAGAAAAACAACATCTGTGCTGGGTTCACGTGACATGTTGAATCTGAGCTGTCTGAGCTTGGTGGCTTCCTTGCAGACGTTTCATTACCAAACTAGGTAACAACATCAGTATCACAAGAGAGTGAGGTTTCCTCTTATTTTTATATACTACTGGTTTGCCCTGTCAATGTTAGTGGGTGTGTTCCTGGTGGCCCTTTGATTAAGCTGTTGTTTATTGTTAGCTTATTTGTCTCTGTTGGAAGTCCCTTGATTGGGGTATTGTTTTTATGTCTTGGTTTCGTGTTAATGTTGGCATTAATCTCTGCTCATGTGGGTGTTGATTGTTGGTGAGGAGGTGTTTTGGTCTCTGTATTTCCTTGGGGCTTTTTGATTGTGGTCATAGATGTTGTTTATCTCTATGTGCCTGTTGATGGCCGATTAATGGTTGGATTTTTGCTAATAGACAAGCCCAAACAAAACCGTATTATGGCTTAAGAGTGCTGTATGAACCCTGATTTTGGATGGCTGAATTCAACAAATAAAGGGGCTGACACAAAGAAGAGGGAGTCAAGCTATTTTCCAAAGTGCCTGAAGGCAGGACAAGAAGCAACGGGTAGAAACTAATCAAGGAGAGAAGCAACCTGGAACTAAGGAGAAACTTCCTGACAGTTAGAACAATTAACCAGTGGAACAACCTGCCTCCAGAAGTGGTGAATGCTCCAACACTGGAAGTTTTTAAGAAGAGACTGAACAGCCATTTGTCTGAAATGGTATAGGGTTTTCTGCCTGAGCAGGGGCTTGGACTAGATGACCTCCAAGGTCCCTTCCAACTTTACTATTATTATTATTAAGGCTTGGTGAGGACTCACACCCATGAAAGAACAGACTGGTGGACTAGTTTGGCCCAGGGTTATCCAACAGGATACTGCTTACGTTGTTATAACTGCCAAGGAACAGTTATAACGGTTAGTTCTCAATCTATGATCGCAACTGGGTCCAAAATTTGTTGAAACGTTTGTTAAGTGAGTTTTGCCCCATTTTATGACCGTTCTTGCCACAGTTGTTAAGAGAATCACTGCAGTTGTTAAATTAGTAACACAGTTGTTAAGTGAATCTGGCTTTCTGACTTTGCTTGTCAGAAGGCCTCAAAAGGGGATCACATGACCCCGGGACACCGCGACCGTCATTAATATGAGTCAGTTGCCAAGCGTCTGAATTTTGATCCCGCAGCCATGGAGATGCCGCAAAGGTCGTAAGTGTGAAAAACGGTCATATGTCACTTTTTTCATTGCCGCTGTAACTAAAAATCATGTGAATTTAAGAAAGGAGATTGCAGACACTGAGTCTCACAGACCCCATTTCAGACCAATGATAGTTAGACTCAAATGATTGAGGACTCTGCCAAATGCTCTCTTCATTCATTCACTGAGCAGGAGTTTGGACTAGAAGACCTCCAAGGTCCCTTCCAACTTTGTTATTCTATTCTATTCTATTCTATTCTATTCTATTCTATTCTATTCTATTCTATTCCATTCCATTCCATTCCATATTTTCTATTCTATTCTGTTCTGTTCTATTCTATATTAATTCTATTAATTCTATTCCTTATTCTATTCTATTTCTATTCCATTCTATCCTATTTCTATTCTATTCTATTCTATTCTATATTGTTCTATTCTATTCTATTCCATTCCATTCCATATTTTCTATTCTATTCTATTCTATATTAATTCTACTCCTTATTCTATTCCTTATTCTATTCCTTATTCTACTCTACTCTACTCTATTCTATTCCATATTTTCTATTCTATTCTGTTCTGTTCTATTCTATATTAATTCTATTCCTTATTCTATTCTATTCTATTCCTTATTCTATTCTATTTCTATTCCATTCTATCCTATTTCTATTCTATTCTATCCTATATTGTTCTATTCTATTCCATTCCATATTTTCTATTCTATTCTATATTAATTCTATTCCTTATTCTATTCCTTATTCTATTCTATTCCATTCTATTCTACTCATTTACTCTATTCTACTCTACTCTACTTAACTCCACTCCATTCCTTTTTCGAATATGGATGAAAAATATACCTGAAATGATAATGACGCGCAGATCCGTGCTGTCAATATTGTGCAAAATATCCTGACGGAGGGACTTCAGCATGGAGAGGGAGAGCGCATTTCTTTTGCCAGGATTGCTCAGAACAATGTTCCTGTAAAGAACAAATTAATGTTTATAAGAGGTCATGGAAAGCAGCTTAGTAGGAACGAGAATCCCTACAACAGGGGAGAGAAGGATTTTTTTTTTTCAATTTGAGGGCTGCTTCCCAAAGTGACTGTGGCTGGACCCCCAAATCAGTCTTTTGGAGGTGGGAGGTCTTTGTGGTATGAAATGGGTGCTTCTACGCCATGGAAAAAATAATTTCCTAAGATTATATAACATGGTTATTTAAAAAAAGTATGTTTTCTGCACGTTGGAAGCCGCACAGGTCCATAGGATTGGTTACGATCCTATTGCGGTTGGACATGCGAATCAGGAGTCGCATCCTGAACTCATATAGTTTTGTCTTTTCCTATTATTTTTGTAAGGTGACGATGATAAGATGATTTTGGATCAATCGTGAACATCTGTTAAGGATGGATGGGTTCTTCTTGGCAACATCCCTGATAATTGAAATCTGTTAAGGAATCAAAAATAGTGGCTGGTTTGAGCATGAGGATTAACCCAAAGGATGGCTGGCTCAGGAATTCTGGGAGTTGAAGTCCACAAGTCATAAAAGAGCCAAGGTTGCCTACCCCTGGTATAGGTTCTCCTGCCCGAGCAGGGGGCTGGACTAGAAGACCTCCAAGGTCCCTTCCAGCTCTATTCTATTCTATTCTATTCTATTCTATTCTATTCTATTCTATTCTATTCTATTCTATTCTATTCTATTCTACTCTACTGTACTCTATTCTATTATTTTTTTAAAGAAAATTTTATTGATTTTCTAATTTTACATTTAAATATTTAAAAAGCAACGTGGCGGCTGAGTTAATCGATAATTCAGTAACATACAAGTATCGTTAGTACAAGTCTCAAACTACTACATTAAATATTTCCTCTCTTTTCCCCTTAGTATTTACTGTCTTATATTTAAACTAATACAATTCTTATTATATCGATTAAATAAAAATAACTTCCTTACATTCATCAATAATTTTTAGTTTATACATATCCCAGTTATTTTAACATTCAATCTTTATAGACAAGCAATGTCCTAATTAGTTTTTCCCAATTTTTAGTTTCCCATTAATATTCTATTCTATTCTATTCTATTCTATTCTATTCTATTCTATTCTATTCTATTATCTTTCTCCTCTTCTGTATGTGTTTATTGAGAAGAAAGTTAATTTAAAAAATGGCCAGAAGGGCACCAGAAGCCTCAAAGCCATGTTTAATCATGCCAAGGAGGGAATCGGCCGTGAAGATTTCTGTTGTGGGGCAATGCCCACAAGTAGGCAGTGGTGGAGAAGTAGTGGTGGCGGTATATCACCAGTGGATGAGGGCCCGTGGTGGGACAGCTGGGTTAGAAACCCGGGGTGAAATGGACAAGATCAGGTGGCCACGATGAATTGTCCCATTCCATACACGACCTATATGGCAGCCTATCGTAGGATCCAGCGGGCTCACAACAATTCATAAAACGCAGTTAAAGACATACCCAGGAATTAGACCAGGGGTCTTCAAACTTGGCCCTTTTATGACTTGTGGACTTCAACTCCCAGAATTCCTCAGCCAGGCACGCTGGCTGAGGAATTCTGGGAGTTGAAGTCCACAAGTCATAAAAGAGCCACGTTTAAAGACCCCCGAATTAGACCAAACATCCTCACAGCCTTAACATTGCCTGGTTTTATGAATGATGATGTAACCATTTGCAGGTTGTCAAACCTGTTGGTTCCTTGATTGAATAACTGATAATTGCTCTTGTGTTTGGAGTTCACTGATTCGAATCAAATATAATTTGCAAGTTGAGGTGGTTTTTTTTCTGAAGGAGATGGCTAGGGATTGATTTGGCCCCAAACCAATGAATACATGGTTTGCAAAGGGGATTTTCTGATTTTTGAGGTAATTTCAAAAGAGAGCTTCCCAGATAATAAACTCAGGCAAAAATTGGCCTCACTTCTGAATCACTTTTTCAAATGTTTTCTCCACGCTAAATTTAATCCACTATTAATTCATGCCCTTTTCTGCTCCCCTCCCTGGCCCAGTTCAGTTCACTCACTTTTTCAGAAACTTGATCATTATCTTAATAGTTCCAAAAAAGAACTTTCTCGTGCATTCACTGCTATTAATGATTAATTAATTGTGCTGAGGGGGGGCTGTTTTTGAAAAAAACCTTGTTGCTAAATTTGCAATTGGTAAGCTTGACTTTGTTTTAGGACGTTATGTGATTCCATTCCAAATATTTAGTTAATGGTTTGATAGCTGGTATTGATTCAGGTGCTGTAAAAATATAATTCAGTACAGGTAGTCCTTGACTTATGACCATCTATTTAGAAATAAGCTTTAGGACTATTCAAAGTTACAAGCGCTGAAAAAAATGACTTACAACCAGTCCTCACAGTTACGACGTCCTTATGTTCCAATGATCAAAATTGGGGCATTTGAAAATTGGCATGTATTTATGACAGTTGCAGCGTCCTGGGGTTGTGTGATCACCAATTGTGACTTTCCCAGCCAAGTCAATGGAGGAATCTGGATTCACTTAACAACTGTGAAATTCACTTAATGACCAGTTGTTTTGCTTAAAGAACATGGCATAAAAAGTTGTAAAATCGGGTGCAAATCACTTAACCACAGAAATTCCAGTCCCAATTCCTCAGTCGAGGACTACCCATAACTGGGTTATGGAGGTTGTACAAAATGCATTTTATTAGCATGTATTTGGTGGGCTGTCACCTGACTTCTACTTGGATCAGCCAGGAGTGAATTTGCACAGTTGTACTTTACTACATGGTGTAAACCCAGTCATTATAGCATGTGAAAAGAGGCATTGGTTTAAACCAGGGGTGGGCAACTCTGGCAACTTTACAACCTATGGACTTCAACTCCCAGAAGTCCCTGCTGGCTCTGGAGTTCCGGAAGCTGAAGTCCACAGATCATAAAGTTGCCATAGTTGCCTACTCCTGGTTTATGAGGTGTTGCCAGGTTGTGTGTGTGTGATTCTGGTCCTCCCTTAGGTATGAAACCACGGGGGGGGGGCTTTCTGTCAGGGGCTTTCTGTCAGTCGTTACCTCAGCCCAACCCATCTCACAGGGTCGTTGTGTGGTAATAGGAGAAAACATTATATCTACACCGAGTTGTACAATAAAAAACCAATGATATCATTGTAATTACTCTTTCACATCTAGCTGTGGGCATTTGCCCATTGCGAGAACCGAGTCAATTACCAGCATATTCAAGAATTAGGCAAACACAAAATCTGTTTCCTTTGGAAATGGCACTCTCCAGATTCTGGGTTGCACCCAGTTGCAGGAGGGCCTCTGACCCAGGAAGGCAACCTTATCATTAATGCGGGGTCTTCAAACTTGGCCACTTTAAGACTTGTGGACTTCAACTCCCAGAATTCCTCTGGCTGGCTGAGGAATTCTGGGAGTTGAAGTCCACAAGTCTTAAAGTGGCCAAGTTTGAAGACCCCTGCATTAAGGCAAGGACGGCATTGCAATCTGTTCTCTTTAAATAAGTATTTTTTTCCCCAGGCTGGCTGAGGAATTCTGGGAGTCGAAGTCCGCCCCTCCC